TCCTAATAGTTATTTGACCTATTAGATTTTAGAGGTTTTGCTTTGTGTTTCAAAGACTCTGGTTTTCTTTCCTTTCCTATTTTCTATTTTGTCTATGAAAAAGTGAGGCTATCTTTGGTTAAAATTCTTTCTTCTTCAAATAACCACTATTTTGAATAATGATTTCTGAGCCAAAAATGATTCTTTTTTGAAGCTACATTTTCTTGCTTCAATGAATCAATTCTTAGAATGAATTTTGAGCCCAGAAAAAATTGAATTATTTCCAAAAATTTTTATTAATTCAAACTTAAACGTGTTTCTTAGTATCACAAAATTCATTATGGCTAATCCTCCAAAAGCATGCCAAACACAGCCTGAATGTCTCCATTTTGGATGGTATATTTGTGCCCAACAATGTAAAGGAAAATCAGACCGAAGCTTCTTCACAGAAGATATTAATAAATTTGGTTTTTCTATTATCAATGAAGTAACATTTGATTATGGAAAATGTTCTGTGTGGCAGAGGATGAGAAAGAATTTGGTATATCATACATAGGGGGAATGAGATTGGGAGACTATGTTGAAATAGAAAGTGGAGGGGAAGAATGGAAAATCTAGATGAAAGTTATTGATCCAAAAAAAAAAAAAAGAAAACCTAGATGAAAGTTTGCTGAAACGAATAACTGGAAGGCTGTGGCTAGTTCAAACTGTAATAAGAATGTTGTAAGACCTACATGGACTCCACTGGATGATGATTTTATAAATTAAATGTTGATGGGAGTAGTGTAGGTAATCCAGGTCCTTCTGGTATTGGCGATGTGTTTAGGAATAAGGACGGAAAGGTCATTGGGTTATTCTCAGGTCCAATTGGTGTGGGTGACTCATTAAGAGCTGAGGTTCTGGCTGTCTTGGAAGGGGTGCAAAAGGCAAAAGATATGAATGTGAGCAAACTGATTATAGAAGGAGATTCAAAGCTGGTAGTGGAGTGGTTGGAAAAGGGAAGAAGTGGATTGTGGATCTTCAATGGTGAAAGGAGGAAATTCAAATGGTTGGCACAAAATATGGAAGTGAATTTCAGCTGGGTTAAAAGGACTGCTAATGCTTTTGCTGATGTTCTAGCAAAACAAGGGGTGGGAAGAAATCAAATGTTTTGGGTAGAACTGTAAGCTGTCCTATAAAATTAATTCTGGTGAGGAGAGGTAAGAAAGGTTATCTCTCCTCTGCTGTGTAATTCTTTAATTWTAATGAAATCCTGTTATTGATAAATAGTTGGTTTGGTGTTTTGGATGAGTTGATACTTTGCTGCTTTGTATGACAGGAAGTATTGGTATGGATGTTGGGAGGTTGTTTGACTATTTTGTGTGTACATTGGTTGTGATTGTTCTGCATTTGGAGGGATGGTAGTTGTTTATTTATCTTTTTGGTGATGTCTTGGCACCTTTTGTACTCTCTCTCTAACGTTTTTGTTTTTTTTACTTTTTATAAAAAAATCATTCTTTATTTATGTGGTCTATCGGGGTATTGGAAGGAAAGAAATAGATATTCTTTTGAAGGGAAGCTTCTCCTAGTAGAGATTGGTTTATTCAGGATTTTGACAATGTGAATGAACAGAGAAGCCTTTGATTCCAGATTAAGGTTGACGTTAGACATTTTTTTTTGATCAGCAACAAAAATGTTTGACATTAGACATTATTATAAAGGATGATCAAATCTTTGTATTTTGTTTATTTTTGTTGTTTCTTCTCTGGTTCTTGATTTCTGTTAAAGGTTTAAAATCTCAGTCTCGGTGAAAATATTGGTCATGCAAGTATAGGAAACATGTAAGAAATTTCAGAAATGTTGTATGGAAATATTGTAAAATTATAGACATGGTTGAAACATTGTTAAATATCCAAAAATATGGAATGATATTTTATAATATGATAAAAGTAGCATAGGTACACCCCATTTTTTTTGAGAAGGCAAAGCATGGTAATATCAATATAAATAAACAAAAAAAAAAGGTAAAGTACGATAGTATTAATAAAAACAAAAACATGTACAACAAGCTGCTGTACACAGGAACTTGCAATCACTGCCCATGCAGCCCTATACCCCCAAACCCTGCTTTACAAAAAGATTTTCATATACAAAAAGTGAACTATAGTTTTTGTCCTTCAATAACTTGTTCATAGCAAGCCAAGAAAACATCTTTCCCAAGATTTTCTGGAAAACTGAATCTACCAAGCTGCTTTTGTTTTTGAATATCCTTGCGTTTATTTCATGCCATATACACCACAGAATCGCTGGAAGTGCAATATTCCATGCCAACCTACCCTTCTTAGTTAAGCCTCTAATTCTCCAGCTTTGAATTAACTCCACCACCTATTTATCAAAAAAAAAAAGCTCCACCACCGATTCTGGCATGCAGGTTTTCACCTCAAATAGATTTCGTATTTTTGCCTATATTTCATGGGTGAAACTACAGTTTAACATCAAATGGTTAACTGATTCAACCTGCTCCTCACATAATACACAGTTGGTGGATTTCAAATGCATATCCTTCTTGATCAAGTTGACCCTGGTTAAAATTCTGTTCAAGTAAGTAGTTGAAACAAAAAAGTCTACCTTTGAAGGTACATTCTTGCACTGAACAAAACTAAGAAACTAAGGTTAATAAACAAAATAATACACTATGAAGTTGCCTTGTAAACTCAAGCCAAAACTACATGGTAGATTGAATTCAAGCAAAATTTTTAACTTATAAAAACTGAAAATTATTCTAATAGATCAACCAGATAATCTATTGTATGAACAAAATCTAATATTTAACTTCATGTTTGACAAGAATTTCAAGCTACTCAAAGTGGTAATCATATCCATTAGGTAGGCTATAATACTGCTACTCCGCGTATCTACAATGTAGTTGCCAACTTATGTTATAATACCATGTCTTGTATTCTACATAGTATTGGTGGTAGTTTTCATTAGGGAATATGTGGATTCCAGTTGTCACGTGGGACTACAAGAATGTGATAAAGAAATTCAAATGGCTGACAAGGAATATGTCTGTAACAGTACAGTGGGTTGGGAGATCAGCTAATGCTTTTGCTGATGTCTTAGCACAACAAGGGACAAACAGGGAAACATTGTTCTGGGTGCAACTGTAATTTGTGTCTTTTGCAACAGTCATGTTTTTTTGATGTAGTTATTGTGTTTTCTGTATGGAGAGGCAGCACCTCACGCCTCTCTAAGGGGATTCTCATGTAACTGATCTTTGAATTAATGGAATATGACTCTTTACTTATCAAAAAAATATGTGGATTCCAGTTATTTCATGTTTGTACCCATGGAAATGAAAATATATTGTGGAAATATTAGGAAATATATGGGTATTATTGGAAGAAAGAAATACTGGGATTTTCAAGGAGAAGTCATGAACAAACAAGGAGATCATGGAAAGCATAATGATTAAAGTGGTGCATTGGTTGAAGACCATGGAGCTGCTTTCTCTTTTTCCATGGAAGAGGATGGAATTGGATAGCAAAATCAATATTGGTAAGGACTAAAGTTCAGAAATTGAGGCCACTGAGGTCCGCTCAATTGAAATTGAACTTTGATGGTTGCAATTTAGGAAATCTAGAACTATCATGTATAGGAGGAGCTTACAGGGATGCTACGGGAAATGTCATTGCTGTGTTCTTGGGGCCAATAGGTGTTGGTGATTCTTTGGTGGTGGAGTTAAAGATTGTACTACAAAGATTAAGAGTTGGGAGAAATATGCAAGTATGAAACATCATTATGGACGGAGACTCAAAAATAGTGGAGTGTTGGCTAAGATCAAACAGCCAAAGAATATGGGAATACAGGTACATAATGAAGGAGATAAAAGTGTTGGCAAGGAAATTAGAGGCTTCATTTCATTGGGTCAGGAGATTGGCAAATTGCTTGGAAGATGCACTTGCAAAACAAGGTGCAACTAGGACTTAGTTATTCAAGGGACAGTTGTAAATATTTGTAATATATTATGTAAAGTAGACAAAGGGGTGCAAGGGTAATGTGGTGTACCTCAATCCTTCCCCAGACCCTGCATTTGTGGGAGCCTCGTGCACTGGGCTGCCCTTTAAATAAAGGGGTAAGAGGGAATTTAGCATAGGGGTGCTGAACTATGCAAATTTTTTTCCAATATTTTCAATAAAACTTTCTTAGTTATCAATAAAAAATAAAGGAAATATATGGACATTTTAAACCATGTTTCTACTGGAGAGAAGGCAAAAATTGTGTGGAGTATGGTTCCTTTTGTTGTAGTTTGGGGTACTTAGAAAGAAAGGAATGAAAGAATGTTTGAAGAAAAGCATTTAAGCTGTAGAAACAAAATGTTGCTGGTATTTGTTTCATAACTGTGAGATGGTTGATTATACATACAGAGTTTGAAGATATGATTGCCAATCATTTGGTGCTGATTTTCAGGTCATTCTGGATCTTGTATCTATTGATAATTGATGGTTTTGTTATACTTTTTGTACTTAATCATTTTTTTTTATAATTTTCTTAATAGGTTGAAGTCTCTTTACTGTCTTTGTTTTTCCTGATTAATGGAATTGTCTTCCCTTATTATCAGAAAAAGGAGAAGCCCTCTTTACTACTTATTATTCGTAATCTTTATTTTCATTGATTAATTAAGTTGTATCTTTCCTGTAAAAAAGAAAGTAACAAACTAACAATTGTCTCAGAGCTACATGCTTGGCACAACAATTTCCTTGAGTGTGTTAAAATTGTTTGATCCTTAAATATTCATCAACACTTTAGTGTTTGACCCACATTTTTATTTTTTAATTACATAATTGCTAATTTGTGAACCTTGAACATTTGCCATGCGTTAAGGAATCTCTTTTTTACACCATTATTATGTGAAGCTTTATGAGGTTAACCTTCAGTGTCAATAATTTATGGAAACTGTATCCAATTTTAAAATTCTAAAATTTTAGTTTTATTCTGATTTGAAATACCTTAAAAGATGGAGCTAACATCTGTAAATGCAGAGAACAGTCTTACATTTAGTGATACTTTGATTGCTCTGCGGATAATGCGGTCTCAGTTTCCAAACATTGAGAAGGTTGGTATTATACTAGTTTAGCAATTTACTTTCCTTTTGTTGCAATTTTTGAATTTACAGACATGTGGACATTTGATGTTGGACCAGTAGAGAAATGGTTGAAAAAATTGCTAGGTTGAAGATGGATTCTAATGGTTTTTTTTTTTTTAATTTTTTTGAGAGAAGATAACTAATTCCATTAAGATAAAAAAGGGAAGGATGTACATGAGGGGATGTACAAAGCCTTGTCAGAAAAACAAAAACAAAAGACAAAGCCCACTAAATGGGCAATGTATGAGTACTATGCAAATTATCCCTTCCCAGCCCAGATTTAGCTAGACTATCAACCACTTGATTTAATTCTCTAGGAATCCATCTAAAACTGCACTCTAAGCAAGAGGCAAGCTCCCTGATTTCTAACAGCAGATGGGAGAGCTTCCATCGTCAAGGGTCTGTCCAGAAGCTCAATTTATAACATTCCTTGAATTTCCTTCCACTGAAATGAAACAGAGCTGATGTGACTTCGTGATTCTGAGGCCTTCCAGGACGGCCTAATGGTTGAAATTATATAGAAAATATAATCCTATCAGTCTAAAGGATCAACAGTTATGGAGGAACTAAGGGGAAGTAATGGGTTGAGAAGGATCTCTATCAAGCTTGTAACAGACCACAAGGCGTTTAGCTTTCTTGTTTTGAGATAATGCAAAGGGGTTGGTAGAACTTAAGATTGTTCCGGAGCTCAAATTAACAACGGTTTAAGAACTGTAGAAAATAATAGAATCAAGACAAAAAGAAGGGAAGATATGAGTGAAAAAGAGGGCAAATAAGATCTATAAAAAAAGAGGGGAAATAAGAACTAGTGAGGAAATGATTCAGTAATAAAGAAAGAAAGAGCAATAAATAAGCAAATATGAAAATAGAACAAATGATTGACCAAGCTAATAATCAGCTGGTGAATGAATTAACTGATGTACATTAAAGATAGACTTTTAGATCCTAATATAATCAGTGCCATTAGATTTCCCTAGGAACAAATGATTAGACTTTTGGACTAAGCTGTAACTATAGTGTGTTTTCTTTATTTTTTTCTTTTCTTGAGGTTCTTTGTTGCTCTTGGAAGATAAGCGTGTTTGTCTTCCTATTGTAAATCTTCTTTTGATGAGTTAATGAAAGTGTTATTGATAAAAAAAAATAAAAACATACCTAGAGAATGGTTTAAGAACCTTGAAGATAATAGGTGACAAAGAGAGGAAATAAGAGCTAGGGAGATGATTCAGTAATGAAGAAAAACTTTCAAGGTATTGACGTTTCATAATCTTTTCAGTAATGAAGAAAAACTTTCAAGGTATTGACGTTTCATAATCTTTTCAGTTTCTGAATCTTCTTACTGTACTGAAAATGATATCAGAGATTGACTAAGCTAATAATCAGCTGGTAAATGAAATAACTTCAGGACATTAAAGATAGATCCTAATATAATCAGGGCCATTAGATATCCTTAGGAACACACACCTAGAGAAGGATTTCAGCCCTTTGACGATAATCAAGTGACAAAGATAGGAAATGACAGCTAGGGAGATGATTCAGCAATGAAGAAAGACAGAACAATGAATAAGCAAATCTGAAATATCTGGTAAATAAAATATCTGCTGAATGTTAAAGATAAATCCTAATATAATCAGTGCCATTAGATTTCTTTAGGAACAAACAGCAAGAGATGGATTTGTCACCTTCATAAGTCTGGAGTCAAGACCAAACACATAAGGAAAAAAAATCTCTTCTTTCGTTCATTCCAGAACTCCAATAAGTTAATACATGGAATATAAATGGAGAAGCACGCATATTTCCTAAGATCTAAGAAATATTTGATTTTTCTAAATATGGAAAAACTAACAATCCTTAATACTAAAATCCGATTTAAAATATCTTCAGGATTGAAGTAAATCTTTAGGCTCATATTATGTGGGTTCCACTTAAGTTGGTAAGTAACCTATTGGGCTTTCTAGAATGAGCTTGTTTTTGTTTGCCCTGTTCTCAAGTAAAAAACTTAATAGATTCAAGCTTGCCGGTGAAAACTTTTTAGGTCCATGGAATTAGCTGGATTTACATGGTTTTATGAAACACCAATTGCTGTCTTCTTGTGAGATCATAGTTGTCAAGGCATGTCACCTAGGTGACTACATGCTCATGGCTGGATGTGTTGCTTGGATGCCATGCTTGTATGGAAAGGCGCTCATCTAGGCAACTAGGCGCCCATCTAGGCAATCAGGTGTGAGCCTACGCTATTAGCTACATCTTATTACATCCTACAATATATTATGTATATTACTCTGTTTAAATGTTTTACTTTTTTTCTGATAAATAGTGTAAGGGTTTTACCTTTAAAACAAAAAAGAACCAAGGTTTTTAAAAGAGAAAAAGAATTAAAGAAGAGAAGAAAAGGATAGAGATGTTCTTTTATTAATGCAAGGTCCCAACCAGCGGGTTGGTAGGGTCTCCTGCTGGTCGTAGCGGAGATTTGGGATCGAATCCCGTCTGCACCTGGGTTGGGGGATGGGCTACCCCCATTGTGTAGCCCTTCAAAAAGAAATAAAAAAAGATGTTCTTGTATTAATATAGTTTTAAATAGAAAATGAGCTTTGTCCCTTGTACTTTTTCCCTTTTGATTAGCCTCTTATAACATGCAATTGCTCTATTATGTACTTATTATGATACAATGCAGTGTTTGAATTTAATTGATTTTAAATGAATACAATGATTTGAAATGTTTTGTGAGGCAAATTAATATTATTTGTAAAGACTAAAGGGGACTGCTGTTTTTGTTTTTACTTTGTAAAATTCTGTCATATAGTTCACCTGGATTGTCTAAGTGCTTTTCTGTTGCCTGGAGTTACATAGGTGTGTTGACAACTATGCATGAGAGCAACATGAAGGCCCATATGAGCCTAGAGAAAATTATGGTTTTGGCTGCTTTTTTGTCAGCCTTTAGAGGAGATCATTCTTAGTCTATCCAGGCCCAGGCATGGAATTATATGCATGTATTGTAATATGATAAATACCAACTCTCCCCTCTCCTTGGGATGCTTGTAATGTCAATTTTAAGATTATCTTTTACTTAAAAATATGATATGATATGATATGATATGATATATAATATTATAATGTAATGCATATATTCTATTCTGTTCTATATAACATATACTATATATATAAGTTTGTAGCAGAATGGTTGAAATGAAACAGGATTCATGTAGCTGACCCCCATAAGGCTTGGATGATGATGATGATGAAAATTGTAAGCTCGGAAGTCTGGCCTGCCCCAGCCTGGCTCATGATCACCCCTACTTTTCCCCTATCTCCTGTTTTGAAACAACTCATTCATGTGTTTTAAAGACCTTGAGGATGAAAGGAAAGGTACCTTGTCTCTCATGGTCTTTTTAGTATGATGCATCTGAACTATATTCACTAGCAGGCACCAGCGAGATAGCAGAATCGACCCCAACTCTGTTTTAATGGAAATGGTTCATACACCTAATGGTGATGATGGAAACACCATTGCCCTGTTTTCTTCGAATCACTTGATTGATAACTCTATGTTCAGTTCTTGGGAGAATCATTGCCACCACCACAGAATTCTAGTCATTGAGCTATTGCTTCACCACTGCTTTTGGAATAATGCTACTTGCCAGGGCTATCTTGTAGTCCTTCTCATGCAGCTTCACCTTCTTTAGCTGTTGCTTCTCCCCTGCTGTAGGTTCCTTTTGTTTTGTCTCTATAAAACTCTGGCACATATTTGAGAAGCTAAATCCAATCTGATGACCTTCTCCCTTCTGGTTTATAGATAGTGTAAGCCTTTGATGCCAAGTGTTCCGTTGCACTGCGAAATCTCCCTTTCCTCTTTTCCTTCTTTTCTGCTGCTTATTGTCTTTTGCCTCTACTGTACTCTTTCCTCCAGTCCCTATTTCTATCTGCATTACTACATACACTGCACCTTGCATGAAATCTTTCAGCCATTCCATAGCTATCTTTTCTAGTATAATGACTTCTTCTTTAATCTTCAACGCCAAAATGCTACTGTTTGAAATCTCCTTGAAGAGAGATTTTAGCCTCTTCCTGTATGATCGTCTTCACTTACTTCCCAGTCCTTCAGCCATCTTCCCCTTCCAAGCATTTTATCAAACACCTGAAAGGCATGAATAGATGTTGGGGTGGATGAATGAAGGGAACTTTATTGGTATATACTATACACTTTGGATCTTGGATTGTTGATGGTTGGGTTCATGCTGAGTCCACACCACTACGCTAAAACCAGTGATTTAAAAGGCATGCCTAAGCACATGGGTGAAGCACATTTCAAGGCATGTGCTTCTCCTAGGCCCAGGCACAGCCCCTTTAAAAAGGCGTGCACACGCCTGGTGCGCCTTGCACACGCCTGGTGCGCCTTGCACACGCCTGGTGCGCCTTGCACCTCAGCTCTTTAGATTAGGTGGATTTTATTACCAACCTGCCAATGATCTCACTGTAGAGGAAGAGGCAATCCATTATTAAAGAAAGCCCTTCTTTGGTTGCTCCACACCCCTGAAAGTTTTGGCATTCCTTTCTTCCCAGATAGTCCAATGGATTACTGCCCTTGTATAACTCCAAAAAAAATTTCCCCCTTCTAAGCAAAGTGAATAAAGAAGCTTTGAAAAGTTCCACCACCTTGGAAGGAAGGGTCCACTTGCTACCAAAGAGTAGAAAACCAATCCTGAGCACTAGTAACAAGGTAATAGGAGATCAGAAGGTGTCTGGGTGAAACATAGATTGTCTATTTGCCATAGAAAGAATACTAAGTGTGGGGGAAACATCATTTAGATCTTTTCCTCTCAAAATATCACATATTAATTTTAAAGTGCCAAACCTTAAAAGAAGGCCCTAATTTTGGGTGGAAATGGGCTGCTCCAAATCTCTTTCACCAGGAAAATTATTTTACTCTCAGCACTACGAAAGTGTTTTGAAAAAAGAAGCGCAAGAAAAAAGACCCAGAGGCTGAAGAAAACTAAATTCTATGGTTAGGGACGTAAGGGATCCAGGATCACTCTGTCTAGGGACTTGACCAAAAGGAGAGCCTCTAGACTTAAGATTCTCTAAGGCACCTCCGCAACTCCACATTCCAAGAATACCTCAGTCAGGATGGCTGAGGTGCTGAGAAAAGTGAGAGATTGATTTAGATTTAGACAAAGATAAGGAATATAGAAGTGGATTCAAGGTTCAAAATATCGATACAGGGCAATACACCGGTAGGACATATTGGCCTGTATCGGTACTGTTTTTTTTTGTTTTTTATTTTTTTGAATCTGGTTCAGAGGGGCCGGTTTATGGCCGATCTACCCCCTGAACCACTCGCCAACCCAAAACACCCCCTGTAGGGGCATATTGGGAAGGCCCCGATATGGGCCGATATGTATCGAAATTTTGAACCATGAGTGGATTGACAACTTTATATATTCAATCTCCCCACCAAAGGTCTTCCCAGAACAAGGTTGGATTTCTAGAAGATACACCATTGCAAATGTTGCACACAAATAGGGTAAGCAAACCTGAAATGGCTTTCCAAGGAGAGGCTTGTTTTCTGAATGCTCATTTCTATTCAACGCTCCATTTAGCCTTTCTTTCTCCAACCCTCTATATATTTTCTCAGCAGCAATCCTGTTCCTACCTCCCAAAGTGGAAGGGCCAAGAGATTCATCCACCTGAAACTCCTCTACCACCTTCTCTAAGGGAGAAGATCTGCTTACCTTGTGCATCTCATTCATACACACATTCTCGTTGTCCTCCCTGTTGGCCTATCATCAATTCATCATATAGAGGCAGCCCTAGGTACCTATCAGGTTGTTTCTTACATTGTCATGTATGTATATTGTTAGTGAATAAAAGCCTGTTCAGGGACCTCACCTAACAGCTTAAGCTTTTAGGTTGAACGGCTCCTTGACATATATCTATTAATCAATATGAGTAGCATGGCAGTTTGCACTGTTTTAGTTTACAATCTCTTATTATGTGGAACAGTGCATGTAGATTATGATTAGACCTTCTCTTTTCTAGTAAAAATGATATTTAAGAATGGTTTCAATTTGTCATCATGCTTTTTTTTTTGATAAGTAAATAGCAAGAATTTTATTAAAAGAAAAGAAGTTACAAAAGAAGGGTGATAAAATAGCACCCGAGAACAAACAAAACAAAACAAAACAAAAGAGCCATCTATCAAACTAGATAACAGGCTCTGCATTACATATTTGATATCCCAGGACCTCTCCTAACCCACTCCCCAAATCCTCCTTTTTTAGTTGACTGAATTCAGGAAGAATCAACACCCATTCTACCACTGATCTGCCGACAGCCGCAACCATCTTCTCCATGCTACAAGCCTTGTCTTTGAAAGTCCTCCTGTTTCTTTGCTTCCATATTTTCCAGCATATTGCAAATGGGATACAACTCCATAATATCCTCACCTTCTTGCTCCTAGACAGCTTGGGTCATGTAGAAAAAATCTCTTCTGTTGAGGTTGGATGAAATCCAGAGACCCTGAACATGGAAGTAAACACTTTCCACAGGAATCTTGAAAAATTGCATGGGATGAATAGGTAAAACGTGTTGGCTGTCAAAATGTTGTCCATCGCTATCAGCCAGGCCAGGGCCTCCACTCTTGGAGGAACTGGGTTTCCCCAGATGCCCTTAATGTGATTTACATCTGAGATAGACCTGCTGAGAGCCAAATAGCATGACTTTACTGTAAACTTGCCATTCTTGCACTCTTTCCTCCAGAGCTCATCTCTGAGCTGAGCTGTAGGTTTTACACCCTCCAGTTTCTCTAAGAGAGAGATGCATTCTTCAACTTCTCTGTTCAATAAAGGCCTCCTGAATTTGGACTCCAAATCAACTGCTCTCCCCTCCTTTCATAACAGCCACTGATAGTAATTTCAGCCTCTGATAACCTATACAGTCTTGGACATACTTCACAAAGCCTTCCTACCCCACATCACTCATCCTCCCAGAACCTGATTTTAGATCCATCCCCTACTACGAAGCTGGTTAGGTCTCTGAATTCCTTGTTAAAGGTCATGATCCCCTTCCACACACTCACTAGGAAGCCCTCACCTTCTTTGATTCCCAACTGAATCTCACAACCCCATACTTCCCCACCACAGCCCTCCTCCACAAAGAATTCTCCTCCCCTCCTAAACTGAACCTCCTCAGCCACTTCCCCAATAAGGCCCTATTTAAAATTCCCACTCTCCTTATCCCTAGCCCTCCCCTCTCCTTCGGCCTACACACCCTGTCCCAGTTCACCAAATGAAATTTTTTGCCCCCTTCTCCTCCTCTCACCCTCTCCCAAAGAAAATCCCTTTGGAGCTTCTCAATTCTTTTTTGCCACCTTAGATGGAATTTTCAGCAAAGATAGGTAGAATGTTGGAAGAGTTGAAAGAACACTTCTGATAAGTGTCACCCTCTCCCCAGAGATAAATACTTAGCTTCCACCCATCTAACCTCTTTTCAATTCTTTCCAAGAGTGGTTTCCATAAGTTCACTGACTTCGCTGCACCACCAATTGGCAATCCCAAGTTTGTGACTGGGAGCTCACCGATTCTGCATTCCATGACATCATCACACTCCATCAGCACTTCTCTCCCAACTTCCCCAACTGCTATTATTGTGCTTTTGGATAGATTTATGTTCAACCCTGACAACAGCTCAAAACTTGCCAAGATTGCCCTCAAGTTCAGAATCTGTTCTACCTTTGCATCCAGGAAGATTAGGGTATTGTCTGCATACTGTAGGTGAGAGGTCCATCTGTACCTACCTTAAAACCCTCTATCAGACCCACTTGATCACTCCTTTCTAATAACAGGTTCAAAATCTCCATCACCAAAACAAACAGCAAAGTATTTGTCATAGGTCTTCTCAAAATCAATTTTACAGACCAGACCTGGTCTACCACTCCTTAATCGTGAATCAATACACTCACTAGCCACTAAAACCCCATCCAGTATTTGTCTCCCTTCTACAAAAGCCATTTGAGCTTCCCCAACCACCTCATGCAACACATACTTCAGTCTTTTAGATATAAGCATGATGATCGTTGCCCGACTCGATCAAGTGGTCATCATGCTTATTTTACCACTTCAGAAAAAAATGTTGACAGAAGTTTCCGTGTGTTCTTTTGGAGTGGTTATGTTGTTACATTTGTTTTCATTTCTTTCCTGTCAATTTTTGATTATTTATTGAAGTTTATCAGCGAGTATGCTAGGAAATTTATACACTTGAATTAATGCCTTATAATTTTAGAAGCTCTTTTACTACTTGATCACCTCTTTTACTTGGCCTTTTCAGGTATCAGTTCAGCCCTTTATTTTACGTTCACAACTGTATAGCAGTGTAAAAGACAGGACACAAGTGGATAGGGAATTAGAGGTTCATTTCCATACTTCAAGATTTAAAATTCCTTGAACATTCAATTGATTGTTTTACTTCCAAGGTTAGATTCTGTTAGTTTAATAAAAAATTAACTTATTGATGATGATATACATTGTAGTGGTGTAAATTTTTATGCAGTAGGTTTAGGTGCAAGGATATTTTTGTCTTTTCCCTGATATGTTTTAAACAATCAATAAAACACCAAGTGGGCACTGCCCAACATTTTGTGTCATCTCTTTCTTCTTCTCTCCTCCTGACCTTTCTTCTCTTCTACGACATTTATCATGGTATCAGAGCAATATTAGTTGTAGGTCCAAGCTCACAAAGAAGGGCGCTTTTCTCCTCTATTCTTCCATTCTTTTTAGCTTTTGAAACTGAAAAAAATGCTTGCATGACACATACCCAGCATTGCTCTTTCAAATTGGACATGAGAATGGCTTGTGTGTTTTTAAGTGAAGTGCTCAGAAGGACACTTGCATCCCTGCTAGAATGAGCAAACACAAACTCTTTGAAACCCTGAGGAGAGAGAACTAAGATCTGTATTTTTTTTTGATCAATACCAACAGCTTTTCATTAAAATGAAACAAATTAAATAGAAGGAAGGGGAGATAAACTTTCTTAACTCCCTGGGTAGGGCAAGAGCCCCCAGAAAAGCAATGAAGTAGAAGTACAACACAGCCCAAAATAAAGATTCCCGAGCCATCCCTGTTTGGGCAGTAGGACTCCTGCTTTTTTATTTTCTTTTTTGGTTGTGTAGAGAATCAAGGGTTGATTGTCATTTTTTGCTTTATTTTCTCCTTTATGGGACTTGAGAGTATTGTTGTACTATGTATGTATAGTATACACTGTATCATGGCTGTACAGCATTTTTTTGACTTTGTAAGAGGACATAATAGTCCTTTCTGATTCTTTTCAATCACACATATGTAAGATATTCTTTGGGCATGTGCTCATTAGCTTCGAACATGGTATAGGAGGAGGTTCTTTTGCCTGATTTTGAATGATGGATTGTACCTTGGAATAGCGCAATCATTCAAGGGATTTAGGATCTTTCTTTCTGCACTCATTTGGAGCTTTTTGTAACTGTATTAAGGGTTGTTTTGATCAGCCCAAGTCTTTCTTTTTTTTCTTGATAACGAGGTACAGATCTGATCTCAGTCCTTGATCTCTCTGATGTATGACCAGATCATGAAACTTTAAAGTTGGTGTTGCCTACAGCTGATCTTTTCACCCCTGCTATCTGATTGAAGATTGACCTTGATTTGGAGGGGATCCCTTTTCTTTGGCTGGCAGACCAGTTCTTTCCTATTTTTGGGCTTTTTGTCATTGTAACAAGTGCTTGACTACTTGTTTTTGGAAACTACTCCTTTAGTTTGGTGATGACTTGTGCTGTGAATATTTTTCTCTCCTCCATTTAAGTCTAATTGGATTTGATAGGGTTGCTGAGTTCCTATAATTTTCTAGTGCAGAAATATCTAGCTGTTATTTTTTTGAATTGTTGCACTGAAATGTCTTCAGAAAGGGGAGAGTTCTATTTATTAATTAGATTTATTGGAAGTAACCATATGGAAGTTCCACTTCCAATTTTTTGTCAAAGGGTCGTTGGGGCTATATTGATGGTTCAGTACCTAAACTGGATGAATTTGATGTTAAGCATGAAGAATAGATAATGATAAAATTTGGGTCTGTCTTTTCCAGTTAAAGAGTTTTGGAGTAAGCCAATTCCACCTAAGATTGGAGGTTTTTGCTGGGAAGTGTTTTGGATAGTATTAAGACCTGTGACCTTCTCCAAAGAAAGAGACTTACGTGGTGTTTATCCCCTCATAGGTGTCTCCTTTGTAAGGCTAGTGGTGAGTCTTGCCATTACTTATTAATCTCCTGCCCCTTACTATCATCAATTTGGTGGGATTGGTTTCTTTTCTTGTTTGGGTGTAGGTGGAACCACCTACCAAATGTACAAAGCTTGTTTGGCCCATTGTTAGTGAAGAAATAGTTGGTTAGCCACGAGTGTGGGGTTCCATACCCACACTCAGGCTGTAGTGTGTGTGGTTTCATACCCACACCTAGTTGTTTCTAATTTCTTTTATTAGTAGTTTCTAATTTCTTTTTAGTAGTTCCAGTTTCTTTAGTTTCTAATTTCTGTTAAGTTGGGCTGGCTTGCCTTATTGTTTCTAATTTTTGTTTATTTCCTATTCTTGTAAGGATTCTAAAAGCTATAAATAAAGGAGTGTATGGGGTAGCAGATCATTCACCACTGAACCCCTTCTTTCTTTTCTCCTCTCTTCACTCTTTTTCTCTTTTCTTCTCTTCAAACCTGTAATACAGTAAACAATTCTTCTTCTTCTTCTTTCAAGTTGGTATCAGAGCCTTAGATCTAGGGTTTCTCATGTGGATTTAATTTAGCTGACCACATGAGAATTGTTTAGGGCTGAAAGTTCAGAAAGATCCTTATTTCGGATGATTCTTGGAGGTTGCAAGAAGGCTTTAGCAGCTGTCCTAAAATTGGAGAGAGCTTCTTGTAATCAGGAAGAATCAGGCAAGAATTGAGTGATCAAGATCGATTCTTGATCAAGATTGGAGATGCTGATCAGTTTTTTTTTTTTTTTTTTTTYTTGGTTCTTTGATCAAGATTCAAGGTGCTGACAGTAATCGATTGATCAAGTTTGAAGACTGAAGGTAGCAATCARTTTTCCGGGCTTTTTTTCTTCATAAAGTAAGTACCTTTTCTTGAGATTGATACTCAAAAGGACATTGTTATTCATTCTGAGAGGTACGGATAGAAAATCTCAAGACTGATATTAATCAGTCCAGGACTGATATCAATCCCAGGACAGTAGTTGACTGTTATCTAACTGCAAAATCATTATCCTAGGTCGGCTGTTATCAAGATAAGGACCTATTCACTATTCCCCTCAAAAACTTTTGGGTGTACTTGTTTTGTTCAAATCCTTGGACCTCATCACTCCAAGTTTGATCCCAAAGCCACTAAGTGTATTTTCCTTTAATATGCACAAAATCAAAAGGGATATTGCTGTTATGAGCTAGTTTCAGCGATGTGCTTTGTGTCCATGGATGTCACATTCTTTTTGGATATGCCCTACTGTCACAAGGCTTCTCCTCAGGGGGAGAATAGTGAGGAAGGGATTTCAGTTTCAGCTCCAAGAGTTCCTTTACCTGTCCCAGTTACTGAGGGGGGGAGTTGCGAAGAAGGTTGTCAAAAATGCAGGGAGTTGAGGGTGTATAACAGAAAGTGGTGGAGGCAGGTTGATTCTCGTACTCAACAACAATCTAGGCCAGTTCCAACATCTTCTATAGCTCTAGACCCAAACACTACTACTGCTCCACTGTTGATCCCACTGTTGATCCCACTGTTACAGAGGTTCAGCCTTCACAGACTGATGACCTTGATCTTCTAATTGCTATTCGTAAAGGGAAGCGCCGTTGCACCTCATCCACTGTCCATTGCATCTTCAAGTCCCTTTCCTATAATTGTCTCTCAGAATCATACAGATCTTACTTGGCATCTATTTCTTCTATTCCTATACCCAGAAAAGTGCAAGAAGCTCTTTTGATACCTGAATGGAAGGAAGSAATGCAAGTAGAGATGGATGCTCTTGTTAAGAACAACACATGGGAACTAGTTATCCAGCCTGAAGGGAACAAACCTGTTGGATGCAGATGGGTGTTTACTGTGAAATATAATGCTGATGTTACTGTAGAGAGGTATAAGGCCAGATTGGTTGCAAAGGGATTCAACAAATTTATGGCATAAACTATACAAAAACTTTTGCACCTTTTGCAAAAATGAACACTATCAGAGTTCTTCTATCCATTGCTGCAAACTTCTCATGGCCACTATTTCAGCTAGATGTTAAGAATGCTTTCCTCAACGGAGACTTGCAAGAGGAAGTATACATGGAGTTTCTCCCTGGTTTTTATAGTACAGAAGCAGGAAAGAAAGTTTGCCTTTTGAAGAAGGCCTTGTATGGGCTAAAACAATCCTCGAAAGCTTGGTTTGATAGGTTTAGACTGGCTTTGGGCAAATTCGGATACATACAAGCTCAGTTAGATCACACCCTCTTCTTTAAGAAGGCAAGTCATTCCTTGACTCTACTTGCAGTCTATGTAGATGACATTGTGATAACAGGAAGTGGCACTAGTGAAATTGAAACCCTTAAACAATACTTTCACAAGGAATTTGAAGTGAAAGACCTAGGAAAGTTACACTATTTCCTAGGAATTGAGGTAGCTCGATCTAAGCATGGCATTTTCATCTCCCAAAGGAAGTATGTTCTGGACTTATTGGAAGAAACTTGCAAGTTAGGAGTGAAACCTGTTGATACTCCCATTGAGCCTAACCATAAGATAAGTGCAGAAAGTGGAGAACTTCTTGAGGACAGGGCTATGTACCAAATGCTGGTTGGGAAACTTCTTTATCTCTGTCTAACCCAGCCAGATATTTCTTATGCCGTCAGTGTTGTCAGTGAATACATGCATTCTCCTAGGACCACCCATCTCCTTGCAGTAGAAAGGATCCTTGCCTACTTAAAGAGATGTCTAGGGAGAGGTATACTCTTCAAGAATAATGGTCATATGAAAATAGAAGTGTATACAAATGCGGATTGGGCTGGATGTGTTGATGATAGGAAGTCCACCTTTGGATATTGTGCATTTGTGGGGGGAAATCTTGTTTCCTGGAGAAGCAAGAAACAAAATGTTGTTGCTCGCCCCATTGCAAAAGCGGAATACAGATCCATGGCCAATGGTGTTGCAGAAGTGTTATGGCTAAGATCCTTGCTTAATTAGTTGGAGGTTGATTATGAGAAGCCTCTGATGCTGTATTGTGATAATCAAGCTGCAATTAATATTCCCCACAACCCAATACAACATGACAGGATTAAGCATATTGAGGTTGATAGACATTTTATCCGAGAGCGAGTTGCATCTCAAGAAGTATGCTTTCCTTATATTGCCTCAAACATGTAGTTAGCTGATCT